GGACCAAGATCATTTTGTAAGGCAACTTTGAATAGCGTCATCGAGGGACTATGATCTTATATTTGTTTGTTTTTGCCAAGATACTTCGCATATGTAGTATGGCTATTTTTGTATAAGGCAACCAAGTGGAGAAACCCTAAGGTTGCTTGTGTGCAAGTGTGTTATTTTCATGCTTGATTTTGTCTTGGATTTAGGGTTTTCTATTTGATTTGTTTTGATCTTGCCATACAAACCCTAATTACTAGCATGGTATATAAAAGCGGTAAATTGCGTAATTTAAAGGTTACTACGCTATTACAACATTTTATGGGAGGGGGAAATACAAATTGTGAATGAGGATTTGCAATAATGTAAATCTAATTAAGCTATTACAACCAAATCGAATTTGTACAAATATTTGAGTAAATAATATACAATATAATTTAAATATGCAATGTTATGTATATGCAAGGAAAAGAAATTGTTTTATTTTTCATATGCAAAAGAATTTTGACCTAATCCTAATATCTTAAGAAAAGAAAATTAATTCTTGAAAAATGGTTAACCCTAATTTCTAATTTAAAAGAAAATAAAGTTCCTTAAGTATTATTTTTTGTGTATTTTTTGTATTAAAAATAATAGATAATATTTGGTATTTTTATATATTAAAAAAATATTTATAAGTGTGAAGGGAAAGGAATAAAATATATTTAAGTTTATTTTATTTTGTAAGTTTGTTTAAGAAACATAATTAGCATATAATTAAAATAAAGTATTTTTTTTATGTGAAAATAAAATAAAATAAATCAAAATGTAATATTTATCATATATATATATATATTTTTATGATTTTTATGTGTTAAAGAAAATATTTAATAAAATAAAAATGAAAATAAAAACAAATAAATAAAATGTATGGGCCAGGGGGTATCCTGAGTAAACAGGATGTAAGCATCAGAAAAAGTTATGAAGCCCAGTAGTTGAGCCCACGCTGCAAAAAATGAGAGAAATGGCCAAAAACGAGAAAATATGCAAATAGGCAGGCACCAAGGCTCGAACCCATGACCTTGGCATTCTCAGCACGCTGTCTTGCCACTAGGGTGGCTGTACATCCGTTAGTTCAAATGAAACAAGAAAAACATAACACATAACGCCTCCTTGCCCTGTACTTCATCTTCTTCCTCAAGCTGGCCAGAACCTCTGTATCTTTCTCATTTCTCCATGAAAATGGAAACTTCCAACATGAAAATGATAGTACTCTTTCCCATGATTTCAGACATGTAACTTATGGAAACTAACAATCAAAGATCAAAACGAATTTTAAAGGCCCTAATTTCAATCCTAATTTTTACAGAAATTTGAACTCTAAAATTCTCTATACATAATGAACATAAATGAAATCTATGCACATGGTTGGCTTTAGCACAATAATATCTACATTTTCCTTTCACAAATCATGGCCAATGGATGCATGTATGAAGAGATAAAAGTTAGAGTTCTTACCTCTTTCAGATGAGATCGTGAATGGGGTGTGAGTGAGATTTATGAAGGCCTAAAGATCCCTTTAGCTTGCCTGAACCTTCCTAAGTGTGTTCCAATCTTTGCTTTGCTTTGAAAGTGCCTGAATCTGTCTATCCAAGTCAACCTGCAAGCTTGAAAAACAAAAATGGCAGATGGAGAAGGAGGTGTTACAGTGGAGGGATGATGGCCTGGAACACTTAGATATGAGGTAGGTAAAGTGTGTGAGTGATTAAAACTTGAAACGCACGAGTGAATTTATGGATTACTATGCTTGGTTTCAAACTGCAAGTTTTGACATTTTTTTGGTGATAGGGTGTTTTAGGGAGTTTCTAGCCTTTTTCAATCGTGTTCTAAGTTGTAATGTGTTTGTGTATAAGTATAGGGAAGTCGTTTCATCCACTCCACAACAGATTTCTCAGCCATAGCCTTTTTGCACTCTTACTTGCTTTTTAAGAAAGGTGAAGAGACCACTCTCTACATGCTTGTACAGGCTTGCTTGGAATTGGTACAAGTTCTAGGAAACTTGTTTTTGGTTTATAGGATTTGTGTGTGCAGAGAAAATAGGTCTAATGCTCAAGAAATGAAAAGTTGCAAAAGTTATGCTTTTCCAAAATGGCAATGGCAACTTTGTGCCATTTATGGAATTAAAGCATGGACAAAGACTTTTGTGCTTGAATTAAGGCTTTATCATCTGTGTAAGCATTAAATTATGAAGTAAGAAACAAGTTTGAGACCTGTAAAGCAAGGATTAAGCATCATAGGTCCAAATTGGAGTTTTGTTCTTCATGAAATGGCTTGAATTCAAAGTGAGAAATTGCCAACTTCCTCTCTTTGATTCTCCCTACTAAAAAATGATCTCAAGGAGTTCTTTGACATTTTGGAAAGCTTGTAATGTGCTCTATAACTCATGTTTGAAATGAATTTCAATATTCCTCTTGGAACTAGGTGAAAAATTTCCATGAAGTTAGGTAAAAAACCTGCCTAAATTAGGGCAAAATTTCACTAAGTTATTTTAGTTCATGAGCATGTATTCACAAAATTATATCTTGAGATCCAAGCATCTTTGGAGAAAAATGTGTGAATAAAAGTTGTAGATTTCAGGGAGGTCTATAACTTTCACGTTGGGAACTTATTTTGAATCATCTTGTATCATGGTGGAAAATTGGCTTAAAGTTGAGAAAAAATAAGAAATTTTTCTATACTTAGAAAAATTTCTAAGTTAAGAAAATTCAAATTTCAAAACCAAATCTTCAATATTTGATTACTTGATGAACAAGTTTCATATTTTGACATGTTTTGATGAATTGTGGTCCTTGGCACTTGAATTTGACCAAAAAGTCAAAGTTTGACTTTTCAGTATACAGTTGACTTTTGATCAGTTGACTGCAAATTTCACCTGTCAATCCAATGGAAATGCAATGTTTTGAACCATGTCATTAGGTCAAGATGATACAAATGAACCCTTGAACTCATGCTTCAAACCAATTGGTCATTTGTTAGGTAAAAAATGAGAAATTGCCCTTTCTCAGTCAACACCCTAATTTTGACCATTTTGCCCTTTTGATGATTTGATCAAATTTCTTGAGGAATTATGGTCCAAACTTGATCAAATGATACATATGAGTCTAAAATGTTGACGTGGATAAAAAATTATGAAGTTTGACTTCAAATTGGCCATGGTTGACTTTTCTCCCAATACAATTGATTTTTAGGCCAACTGTCTAATTGACTGATCAAAAATGTGATTCAAGGCTTGAAACTTGACATGAGTAATCTTAGGGGTCCATGATGATACTTTAAAGTCAAATGAGGCATTGATAGTCCCAAAATCCTTGTGCAATCCCAAACCCTAATTTTGGGTCATCAGTGCAAGATGAGATGTCTTGAGCTGATCAAACCCTAATCCAGTCTTGAGTTAAAGAGATCTTGTGAGAAAAGTCTTGATAAATGAGATGGCAAATTTTGGGGTACAACACTTTCCAAAACAAACATTTTGTATACTGTTGTACCCCAAAGTTTTCCCTCCCATTTTCCATTCAAGATGTTCTCCTAGGGTTTCTCAAATACTTAAAATGGCTCAGGATTTGATCAAGCAGATTTTCCTCCTAAGCATTGATTCAACAACTAGGGTTTGGTATTTCTCAAGCAAGATTGAGTTTCCAAGGTTTCAAATGGTCTTCATGGTTCTTCAGGTATTCTCAAGGATGTCCGTGTCAATTTTCAAGCCTTGCATCACAATTTTGCTCAGTCAATGGTTCAGATGATTGAAAATCAACTGTATTGACCCAAAAGTCGACCTTTTCAAGATCACGTTTAAACGATTCTAACTTATTCATTATTCAATATTTTTGAGTGTTTCTTTTTGCGTATGACTCTTTTTGACATCGTCTCCAATTCATCTTTACAAGTCGAGAGCCGATTATGTGCGAAAGATCATAAAAAATTCAAATACTTTAGAGGTCACTTTCTGCATTTTTACCTAATCTTAAGTAACTGTTGCCTGACTTCCAAGAATCATAATTTCCTAAATTTTCAAGATCTTGAGACGATTATTTTTTCACATTGTCATAAGCGATGTCATCAATAAGTTCTCTTCAAGAATTGAAGGAAAATTGTATTTAGAAGACCTTGAAAGTTATCGAATTGTCATAGGCCATTTTCGTGATTTGGAATGTTTTTAACTTCTAATTTCAACTTATGCCATAATTGTTTTCTCAAGATGTTGATTCCTATGTTGATTTCGGGGATTCCTTGGCTGTTTGTCGCTGATTTCAAGTCGTTGGTGTTTGAGCATTGGTGATTATTAGATTACGGTTGATTTTTGATCGAGTTTCTTAAGGCACTATTTGTTCACTCAAGTACCATTGACATGTATTGCGAGTTACTATGAATTGAAGATGTGATTTAGAGTTTAGTGAAGGAGATTTGAGGATCCATTCAAATGATGCCTTTGATTTCAATTCAACTCAAGCATACAAGGCATAATTCATTTACATGAATTTGTCTTTAGTTCAAGATTCAAAATGGAAGAAACTCTTTTAAGCATAGAAAAGAAACTACAAGGGCATTATTTTGTTTCATCCAAATGCTTACCAAGACTTTTTCAAAGATCAAAATTCAAGTTATGATTCAAAGATCAATTTCAAAATGAAAGTTTTAAAGGGACTTTACATCCAAGGCCTAATCCTAATTCCTATGTCGTAAACATGTTTAGGTCATCCCAAAATCTCCAAAAAAATTCTTTCTTCATATCAATATAGGAAGCCATGTCATTGTCTTGACAATTTTTTTGTTGATTATAACTAAATGCAAGGTTGATTCTATCAACATCAAAGTTTCAAATAGCAACCAATATTGTTCAAAGATTCAACATGAATTCAAGTTCATTCATGAGAAAGTATTTAGGCATACACTTGAATTCAAATCTCGTCCATAAATTTCATGATTCAATTCATTCAAATTATTCAAAACCATTACACCATTCTTGATTCATTACAAAATTACACAAGTGTACATAACCATACAAAAAAATATTTGTTGAAATCAGTCCACGAACCATGAGCAAGTTGTCGTCCAGAAAATGTTGCTGTCAAAACCTCATAAAACCTCCAAACAAACCAGTTCAAAACAGCCCCTACAAAACCTACTGCACATGCTGTCCAAAATTGTCCAAAATCAGTCCAAAAATCAGCCATGCACCAAGCTACCACTCCACTCCAAAACCTGTCATAATAGTCCAACCATTGCATAAAATTAGCAAAAAACAAAAGCTCCACTAAGAAGCAATAAAACAGTGCCTAAAACAGTTCAAAAACTCATCCCTTCCCCTCCCTCCCCCCCCCCCTAAAGTCTCACTTTTCTCACTTATAAAAGCAGGCAGCAAAGGAAAGAGAGAGATGAGAAGATATCCTGAAAGTGTTTTCCTGCATAAGCCATACTCATTGTTAAAAGCCTCCACTACCTATAAATTCGCTCTCAACCTTCTGCAACAACATCAAATTGCAGTTCTGTTAAACCTTTCACCATATTCTTCATAACACCCTTAACTTTTGCTCCCTGACCAAACCTCCGACATTACCGCACCTTTAGCATCTTCATCCTCAATGTTTCTTCATCAACATTTATGTATCTTCATCAGTGCAACACAATAACATGAATGTTCAGTTTGTAATAATATCAGTAACTCACCGCACACAGAAATCAGAGAAGAAGAAGTTCAAAACAAAAGGAGACAGAAATAAAAACACGGATTCAAAACTCACCATTTTTCTTTGGAACACCGTTGGAGAGACTCCAATAGGTACCACTTATTCTCTCATTTTTTCATAGCCATGTTTGTTCATTTTCTGATTTTTTGTCGTATGCGATTCACTGTTGTTGTTATTTTTCTTTAATCCTGTGAACTTAAGCCCGTGGTCATATAAAAACAAAAATGTTAGAAACAGAGAAATCAAATTTTTGTTGTAATTTACCATAAACTTCAAGATAAAATAAACAAAAACAAAAACTCAGACCACTGAAAAATTTCCTCTCTTCACGATTTCAACACTATCACCAACCTCCTGCTGCTCCAACACGACACCTCTTTATCCTCTCGCCTCCTTATTCTTCCACCCATCGGTCTTCCTCTCCTAACCGCTGGTACACCCTCCGCCTACTACCCCCGTTGCATTACTTCCGCAATCCACCTACGTAAACTCCCTCTATTACGCCACCTACAACCTTCTCCAACCCATCACCGTAAACCCCCCAACCTACGCTCAACTGAACCGGTAACTTCTGCCTCCCGACCTGCTACTGCCATCCGTAAGTTCCACTTCATCTTTGAACCTCACCAGACAAACTCTCGTAGCCATACCCCATTGTTCTTACTCTCACGATAATATACCACACAAACTACTCACAGAACCCACCGAACTCCCACTGTCACAACAACAACAATCTCTCTGCCTCGCTCTCTCTTATCCGACCTCTCTCTCAGCTTCGTCACAAGAAAAAGATGGATAAGTGAGATACTCTCCTACCTCTAGCGTGACGATAATCGAAGCAAAACCAGACCCAGTGAAGGTGCAGAATCTCCTTTGGATCTGTGAAGCTGAGAGGAAGCATTATCGGTGAAGATCTTCTTCCTCTGATGAAGATTAAAGTAACACAACTATTGTGGATATCAAGTCGCATACAGTGATGGATCGTATACCAAAGGAGACAACAATTGAAGTGAATGAGATAGAGTGGTAGAACGAAGATGGTGATGTTGCGGATGAGAGAAAGAGAGATCATTTTTTTTTGCTTCAAAACTTTACTTTTTATTGTTTTAATTGGAAATATTAATATTAATTAATTCTGTTTGTTCCCTTTCCAACATAGACAACAGTGACGACTTTCCTTGTTTGTTTAGGGTTCCAAAAATCTTCCTTGTTATTTGTCGGCCCAATGGGCCTGTTGGACCAATCACCTTATCATATTCGCATTATATTTTAATTAAAACATAAATATAACAGATAAATAGCATTAGCTTAGTGGCAAGGTATACCACTATTAACCTAAGATACATGAGTTCAACTCCTCTCTTGGGCATTTTTATTTCGTTTTTATTTTTAGTTCTTTAGTCTTATTTCCCATTTCTATTAAATATATTTGATAACAAAATGTTAGTTTAGATTTAGTTTTAATTTTAAAACTCAATTAAATAAAAAAACATAATCTCAAAATTAGTTAATTTTGTTAATTAATTTAGTTTAGGATTTTGTGAAATAACTATTAATTAACATTTTTTTAGTTAACATTCTTTTAAATTGTTTAATTTCTTTTAGTCGATTATTTTATTTTCTAGAATAGTTTTTTTTTTCTTTTAAAATTTTATTCAACAAATATAAAATACCAAAAATATTATAGTGTTAATTATTTTTCTAATTAATTTTATTTTATAGATTGTTTTAGTTTAAATATTTGTTCATTTTTAATTAGATTGGGTTGTATTGCTTGTTTATTTAGACTTTTAATCGCATTGTCAATTCGATCCATCCCCATTTGTAAATTTGTATTCCCCATTCCCGAAAGCTCTGTAATAGCGTAGAATTTTAAATTCCATAATTTACTGTTTTCCTTTATACTGTATAGTAATTAGGCATGTACGATAAGACATAAAAACAAGCGATAGATAACCCTAATCAAAGATAAATTAACTTGAATCAAATACACTTTTCACATGCTCACCTCTAGGGTAACCTCGCTTGTCACCTCGGAAAAATAGTGATGTCCCTCGAATGTGGGATGCTTTAGCAAAGACCCTCGATAAAAAGATCGTAGTCCCTCAATGGCCCTTCGATGTTTCCTTCGGTAAAACGATCTTAGTCCCATATGAAAATTGCTAAAGCGTCTCATAAGTTGCCTTCTATGACTATACGATGACCCACGCCCGTCCCTTCACATTCAATGATATGGCTTCTTATCAATCAATGGTAAGATAGCAATATCTAAAGGAGGAGGAAAAGAACAAAGATTTCTTTTGAGTAGGTAGAACATTCATAGTCACTTGTTCAAAACCTTTCAAAACAAAACAACTTTCAAAATACACCAACACTTTCAAAAAATGAAAAATTTTCAAAAGTCAATACTTTGTATACATTCTTATAGAGACGATGATCATTACAAAGTTCGCCTAAACGAAGTCCCTTTTTTTCAAAAATACTTTCAAACAAATCACCAACACATTTCAAGCAAAGCATTTCAAAGTGAGCTAGCAACTAAGAGCCCGTAGATGACTACAGATGAAAAGGGTTCTAACACCTTCCCTTTTCATAACCTACCCCCGAACTCAAGAAAACATCTGAAAAGGAATTTCCTGTTCTTTTCACCCTTTCCTTTATTGGATAAAGGAAAAGCCGGTGGCGACTCTTGCTATCCTCAATAATTGTGATAAAACTCAAAACTCCCAAGTCAGTTCTCCCACTGTATTACAGAACTGGCGACTCTGTTGAGGAGTACTTAAAAGTGGGTTTACCTTGGAGACTAGATCACATTTAAATGCTTTCATTGTTTGATTTGTTTTCTTTACATTTATGGTACCTTGTTTGGGTTTGTATTGATCCTCTACCTAGATCTGGGAACAACATTAGGTAAATAGAAAAAATTATGGAGACTGTACGACATAGACCGATATGGTTGAGGCAATAGCTATATTAGTGTGACACATTTGTGGGTACCGATATCCTTTATGGCAAATTAAGGAGAATACGGGGCTGCTGTGTGGTGTCATGAAGCACTAATGAACCTTAGAACCTTTAATTGAACAACTTGGCCATTAGGAAGTAGCGGGGTAGCCGACTTTGGTGCAGTGTGAAGTTGGTTGATACTCGATATACGCTCATTGAGATTTGACTTTTGGGATATTTCGATCGCCAAAAAAGAGGCTTGCACTAAAACAATGCCCAATGAAGAAAGATCAATGATAATAAGATCCCCTAGAACCCGATTACTTTCTAGGATAGGTTGAACCAACTAAACTTCAAGAGAGTACTTACCTACGAACCTCATGAAAGCCTAAACCTAAGGACTTTTTTGCTTTGTGTGTATATGTTTACTTGTACATAACATCATGACATCATACCATTGCATTTGCACTAACCATTTCAAGGACTTTGGGATTTATCTTTGTGCTATTTTCTAGGACACGGATTCCATGCGAAGAAATACTATCCGAATCAACCTTGTGAAAATTCCTCCTAAACTTAAAGAATTAGCATCAAGGGTTCCCAATGATTCTCCATTCACCAAGAAGTATGGTCGTCTTATCAACTTGGTTACCACAAACTTTGAAGAGGATACAATACACGTGCTTTTCCAATTCTTTAATCCCAAGCACCATTGCTTTACATTTCCTGATCACCAATTAATGCCTACTATGGAGAAGTTTTCTCAACTCGTAGGAGTTCCTATTCTTGATCAATTACCCTTCACTGGTATTGAGAGAGAACCAAGACCCGAGGATATTGCTCGAGCTTTACATTTGCAACGGTCCGACATTGTGGCAAATTGGGAAACAAGAAGTGGTGTTAAAGGGTTTCTAGCAAAGTTTCAGTTTGAGAGGGCTCAACAATTTTGGGAGGCTCTAGATTTGCAAGCTTTTGAAGAAGTGTTAGTTCTTCTAATATATGTGATTGTACTGTTTCCTAACCTGGACCAACTCATAGATGTGAATACGGTCAAAGTTTTTCTATCTCGTAACCCGATGCCTACCTTGCTTGGAGATATCTTGTATTCTCTTTACACTCGCACCATGAGGAGAAGGGGAATTCTTATTTGTTGCACTCCTTTGTTGGCTAGGTGGTTTATTTCTCACCTACCTCAATTTGTTTTGAATAATGAGCAAGGCATGAGATGGTCTAATAGGTTGATGTCACTCACGCATTCAGATATTTATTGGTGTGATACGGTGGCAGAACCGATTGTTAATACTGGTTTTGCATTTGTGTTTGCAAATGTTATGGTAATAAAGAGTCGCCACCGACTTTTCTTTTATCCAACAAAGGAAAGGGTTAAAAAAACAGAAAAAGACCTTTTTCGAGATTTTTTGAGTAAGGGGGGTAGATTATGGAAAGGGAAGGTGTTAGCACCCTTTCCATCCGTGGTTTTCCACGGTCTCTTAGATACTTGCTCATTTTTGAAAATTGCCTTCGTGTTTGTGTGTTTTGAAAAGTTTGTTTGCTTTATGATAACTCTTGTATCAGTCCTCAAGAGTGTTGATAAAACATTTTTTGAAAATGTTTCGAAAATGTAGTGTGAAAAATTGTTTTTTTTATAGAAAGTATCTAACAGTTATCTACCTACTCGAAAAATGTGTTCTTTTCCTCCTTTCTTTTAGATAGTGTTATCCTACTATTAGTGAGTAGGTAGCCATATCATTGGATGTTGAGGGACTATCAAAGGGACGTTTACGGTCACTAAGGCAAATGGGCAAGGACTTCTAGTAATTGTCCTAAAGTTCTAAGATCACTTTTTAACCGAGGCGGCATCGAAAGGGTCATCGAGGGACTTTTGATCTTTTGAATTAGAGGACAGCCACTAAAAATTCTCACATTTTGAGAATTGTGACCGTTTTCGAAGGCAACCAAAGTGAGAGATACCCTAGGGGTGAGCATGTGCAAGTGTACTGATTCAGTTAATTTATCTTGCGTATTAGGGTTATCTAATCGTTTTAATTTACAGTCTTTCCATGCAACCCTATTAATCTAAGCAGTTAATAATAGTTCAAGAATTTAAAAGGAAGAAATTAAACCTAGCTATTACAGGGCCTCGGGGAGGGGATACATAACCAAACTTTTGGGGAGTACGGAAATCAAAAGCAGTAAATAAACCCTATTTCAAAAGCTATTACAAACCATCAACATTTACAATAATTGGAAAAGAAAATAAAACATAAAAAGATAAACGCGCGAAGATCAAGACGGGAACAAGTTGAAAAGTCCTAAAAATCTAATTGATTTAGAAAAAATATTTTTGTATTTTATTGAGAAAAATATTTGAAATTTTAACCTAACTTCTAATTAATTTTATTTAATAAAATAGTCATGTTAAAGTAATTAAGTTAATTAATTTACAAAAATTTAAATTTAATTATGAAAAACCTAATTCTATTTTTTGTGATTTTTGTTGATTTTACGATTAAAATAACAAAATGATTTTAAAATAATTAAAATAAAAATAAAGAAATTGAAAACAAAAACAAGAGAATGGGCCTGATGGTGTTAGGAAATTTGGGAGGTGTGAATCTGGAAATTGTTAGGCCCAAGTTGCGCTGGCCCATAGCTGCATGAGATCCAG